ATTTTTTGTTTGTTTGTTTGAATGCTTTCTTAAACCTATTTGTAGAAAACAAATTATTATTTAGTTTCTCTTCATCTGCTTTAGTTCTTGTGCTTTCTTGTTAAATCTTATGTCTACTGTCTTTTAATAATAGTGAAAACGTAACTACAGACATTTGTGTATAAATCCCTATAATTTTAAATAAGGACAAAATAATCTGTATAATAGAAGTATCACAGAATAAAATTGCAAGTGCAAGTTAAAGTTTATCCATTCTTCTCATTCTATCTCATTAAGAGTAACTACTTAGTCCTATGTTAGGCATTTTATATTAAAGTCTGCCACAAGCAAATATTTATACTTTCGCTCACTTTAAATGATAGAAGTAGACAACAACTTCTCAGAGCTGAAAAAAAAAATACAGGAAATGACTTAGTTCAGGAAAGCCTAAAGTGCACAAAATAAGGTTGTAACATGCATATGGTTTGCTCCCCATGCAAGTTTCCATTTTTTTTTTCATATTTTGCATAAAACCTGAAATACAACTAGGAGGTGCTTACAGCAGTAAGCACTGTATTTTCTTATCATGTATTCACCGAGTTTACAAAAAGCAAAAGTAAATCAATAATTCATTTTAAAACAAGAATATTAAAATATCATATTTTATCTATAGGCTCACTAAAATGAATTGCAACTTACGTTTAAGCCTCTGAAGCTAGAGATAATACTGAAATCCAAGACTGAGTCTAAACATCTGACATTAGTGGAACATTAAAATTATGAGTAGTCATTGGGGAATCAAAATATTGGATTGCTCTTGGCAGTAGCACCATTCAGGCAACTTTGAATAATTGTAATAAGTATTTTTTCAACTGATTCTTCCTGCAATGGTAAATATTAATGGAAAGGCACCATTCATGGGTCTTTTTTTAAATGTGACTCACTGAAAACAGCCAAAGTATCAAATGCACCCATGTATTTTGTTATATGGGTTATCCAACAGTTAAGATTGTAAGCATTGCTCATTTTGCAGTGAATTACAGCCACATTTGTGCCACACTTGCTCTACTCCACTCCAGTGGACAGACTGAGGAAAAAACACATGAGCCCGCTGTCTTTAAGGCAGGACTTTTAATCTAAGTCCCTGCCACAGGAGGTCTATTTTTAGCCTTGGCAGCCTTCAGAACGTAAGATTAGCTATGCCAGAATAATATTGCACTTGAAGCTCCACAGTAATATATGGCCTAAGCAATGTTCTAGGCCTTCTGAATTATAAATCAGGGATCTGGTATTTTTAGGGGGCTTCATTCAGTTACCTACTGATATATTACAAGTAATTTTCTCCACTGTTTGACTAGATGCATGATACTTTCAGTGATATCACTAGAAGCTGCAAAGCCTAAGTGAGCTGGGGTCTTGTGCATAGCTCCAGTGCTTCAAGGAACTGAGAAGGAAGACAACAGAGCTGTAAATAAGCCCTGAATGATTCAGACCTTCATTTCTTTACATAGCTCAAAGGAAACCTCTCTGCTTTCAGCAGCAGTTTTTTCTTTTCTTGGTTTCCCAACGTATGACTTCCAAGCAGATATTTGACTTGGATTGTGCATACAGAAAACAGGGTGACTTCTATCCCTTCATTTAAGTTCCTATGCTAGAGACTATTCTTAGTAAAAAACAGGAGAAACTAGTCAACAGTTATCAGCCAAATTAAGAGCCACTTAAATTAAGGAAAAGTTTGTTTTTAAAAGGGGATGTAATTAGGTGGCAGACATCACCATGGCTACTCTGTTTGACATTTTTTTCCCAACTGATATGTTTGTTCATTTACAAACAAGCCTAAGAGACTTGTGTGTACTTAAAGATAATTCCCTTCCTTGCATTTGACACATCCTCTATTAGATCTCAAAATAATAAGAGAACCATGTCCAGTACAATTTTCAATGCTGTGAGCAGTCGCTGCAGTTAATATGATATGACCACCAAGAGTGAAGCCAATGACATATTGTTAAAATTAAAAGAATCTTAATGTTTCCAGCTTGGTACTTACCAAGTCATTGATAGCTCATTCAAGATGAAACATGTCAGGGCTGAATGCAGATCAGAGTCCTAACAACACCTTATAACCCATATGAATCTCCCCCTAAGAGACTACATAAGAATAAAATTGCACTGGTATCAGGGAGTAGTGGACTTCACTGTTGATAGAAACAAATATTGAATAGCTCCCTTTCTCTATGAGAAGCAGTACTCTCCGTCTGCCATCATCATGCGAACAAATTGTCCATAACTTTATGTGTGTTTTTCATGTTTGTTTAATATTCATAAGCTGCATCTGTAAATAGTTTAAGAATAAGATGCAGTCTGCCTGCTGTTAATACACAAAGAGCAAGTTCAATTGGCAGCCTCCTTCGTGTGCTGGAAGTGGGCAGTGGACCCTTACATTCACACAAGTATGTGCACGCAAAGTTTTAGATGCCTACAGACAGACTCATATGTGCCTCGTGGATATATTCCCACGTGTATTCCCACCTATGTGAACCATGGGGCTTTTGCACAGCGTGAAGGACTGAGGAGGAAGGTCAAGAACCTGCCTAACTTGGTCTCCTTAAGTAAGTTTGTCTCTCCGGCTGTCCGTATCAGACTGTTCAGGAGGGGGAAGCAGGAATCACGGCCCAGCTGCCGAAGCACACGTGTGCAGGCCTAGCACATTCTCACAGGTGGTTCATTTTGGCCTATCTCTCTGGAACATCCAGAGAGCTAACCAAGCTAACCTTCCAGCAAGATCAGTATTTGTCCTTATCAAGCTAACCTTCCAGCAAGATCAGTATAGTGTGTTTTTTTTTTTTTTTAAAGAAACCAATTGCATAGTATTTCTCATGGTGAAATCCATTGCAGATGTTTTCTACAAGTATGATCCCTACAGCCAGCACTTAGGTCTGTCTTACTCTCCTGCTCATCATGATACAGTGTCCTCAGAGGAATGTTTGAAAGCGATAACATAAGGAAGGAAACATCTCCCAACACGTGACATTCTGTACTCTCTGCTTCCAGAAATGACAGCTCACCCTGACTGAACTCCCATCCGTCACATGGGGAGGCCCGTCCTTGCATAAGAACCCAAGGCTGTTCCCTGAGCATCCTCATGAGAGCCCTCCTTGTGCCATTAATAGTCCTTGGTGCTCAAGACATTTTTGAACTGTGGGCATTTCTCATGCTGTAGTGGATGCCTTGTTTCACCTACCACAAGGAGCTCTGTTGTCAGTGATTTCTGTTTGAAGAACATTTTCTCATTCTGTATTTGCTCAGAATGACAATGTTTAGCTTTTTTTTTTTATTACACTAGTTTTTATTACGGAAAGTAACTCATTCTGTCTCATGAAACAATCTTGTAGTTTAGCCATGTGGATTATTCCTTTGACAGGTTTATTGTCTTGATGAATACTTTAGTCTCCTGCACTGTATAGCGAGAACATCCCATAGGAGGTAGCTATAATAACAGTAATTCCACAGTATTCCTTCAAAACTTCACACATGCAGATGCTGCCACTGCCTAAAAGTAATAGAAAGAGATTGACAGTATATTTTTCAAAGCTGTTTCTCTTGTACAAGGGAGAGGTAACTGCCCGGTGAGTTGCCTTTTAATAGAACAGCAAAGTGGTGTGCCTCAGTAAACAGCTGTCCCAGGTGCAACGAGGTGCCCTCTTCATTTCTGTCCATTTCTAAATATGCTAAGAAAGCGTAATGGAGTCAAATACAGTTCACTTTCTTTGTCCAGGAAATCCCACAGATGTTAATGGAATAGTTCAGATGATCATTTGACTTCCCAAATTAGCTCTGCCGATATTGCTGTTCACCTGATTTAGAAACTATTTTGAGATCATAACAGTGCAATATAATTGCTGGATGTTATAATGATATAATGATATAATGATTTCAGCAAGTGGTAGAAGCCTGAAAGCCCAGTGACCATATATTAAAGTAAATCCCAAATTTCTCTCATTGTAACATTGCATGTAGGTGTCAAATAGAAGGAAAGCTGAATTTTCAAGCTGTCACCACTTCATCAAGTGACAGGTTACTGATGAAGATTTTTTTTTTAAAAAAAGAAGAATCTATGGAATAGGAAGAGCTGTAAGGAAAAAAATGTTTTCCACGTTGGTGAATGCCATGTTCACTCTGCATGTGGTTACTGCATTGGATGAGCTGGTGCCGCAGGGGCTGCAGGCTCCTGGGTGATGGGAGGCACTGTCCCCATGCAAAACCACCTCAGCAGGGGCTCAGGAGGCTTCCTGCCACTGTGCTGGTTAACAGGAGGGAGCCACCAGTGCATTTCCAAGGTGATTTTTCAGTTATGCTAGTTCCAAAAGGAAGGGAGCTAATTGTGAGTTTCTTAACTATGTATCGGGATTTCTTCGTGCCTCCAAACCAGGGGATGGAAAGGCTTCTGTCTTTAATGGAGGCCGAATCGACATGCAGGTGACAGGGACAGGGATGAGGAGGTCTCCGGTATGAATGTTGCTCTGATTCTCAAGTATCAAAGTGATTTTTCATTTATGCTAGTTCCAAAAGGAAGGGAACTAATTCTGAGTTGCTTAACTATATATCGGGATTTCTTCGTGTCTCCAAACCAGGGGATGGAAAGGGTTCTGTCTTTAATGGAGGCCGAATCAACATGCAGGTGACAGGGACGGGAATAAGGAGGTCCCCAGTATGAATGTTGCTCTGATTCTCAAGTACTTGTTACTTTCCAAAAGCTCATTACGTTTATTCTTAAAGAACTCGTCCTGGGAACACTGAGGCTCCAACATTTCTGCTTTGCTTTTTAAGTTTAATTTTAAGGTTTTCTTCTTTGGAAAAGCTGAGAATTATTAACAAAAAATAATAACTGCTTAATGTTGACTTGCACAAGAAGGGCTGTTGTGTAATTAAGCCTGCTGAATTTGTGTTCATTCGCACTAATCTAATTATTACTTTCTTTAAATGCTCTGCTGTGAGTCAAAATAAAATAGTGCTGGATTTGAGAACCACAGAATGTGAAAAGTAAGCAAAAACTGAAAAGAGACTTTTGTGCATCTTTTGAATTTTTTAAAAGTATAGCAAACTGTGTAGAAATAACACTGCAAATGGACTTAAGAAGACTGCATGGTTCTGCTTTTCAGCATGCTTTCCACTGATTTATGATGGCAGATTAACATGTGCTACGCTCGTGCCTTCAGAGGTTCGGGGATGGTAAAGCCTCAGCCCTTGTACATCTGCAGCAAACAGTCCATTAGCCAAAGGAACTGAAATTGTAACGTTAAACTCTACAGCATCTTTTTAAAATGAAACATGATATTGCATAGACTACTTTGCATGTCTAAAGATACAGTGTCCAGTTACTTCATTTTCAAAAGAAACCAGTGCACATTTTCAGTAAGCATTGTTAAAAAATAATATTCTCATTGGGAATGTTGTACTTGAAACAGATACACTTCTTGACCATATAGTACATGAAGAAATATAAAAATACAGTAAAATGTGCCTGTCATTGCTTTAAACTGCTGTTCCTCTTCACTTTACATACCTTGGCAATAGGTAGGGTGAGTCTTGGTCTGTTTGATGTTGACTACGGTGTCTGAAATTACAAATGCTGGAGTATAATATACATTCACGTTTTTCGAAGAGAAATGCCTGTTGGGAGATCTCTAATTCTAATTTTATTTGCCAGAGAAGGACACCCAAGCAAATGCTGAATTTGTCCACCAAACCCAAATTTTGCATGTATAAGGCACAACAGTGGAAACGAATATGTTTTCTATATCCTGCATTTAATCTTCTGTGTTTCACTTTTTTAGTCAAATCTTTCTAGCCTCTTTGAGTTCCTTCCATTGCCAAGTATCCATGGCTATTGTCATACATGCTTGCATATTATCAGAGCTACTCGACCTGAACAGACAGCTAACTTTCCTCTCTATGTTTGTTTTTCATTTTCACACATGCACGTACTGTGATAGTTATGCATCTATGGGATTTGCAGACTGGGAGGAAAGCATCTTTATTCCACAGAAACATTTTGTTTGTGGCACATACCCAGAGCACAGTTACATGTCATATAATCTGTCAATACTCTTCTGTCACTTTTATATATATGTATATATATATGTGTATGTTTGTAGCGGGGAGAGAGAGAGGGAGAGAGACACTGATCTTTGGATTTGTAACACTTAAAAATACATTTTAAAAAATATCATTCTATTTCAAATATTAACATCCCAAACAAAGGTTTAAGTATGAATCTGACATGCTCAAACAAACAAAAATGTGTAGAACCTTGCTCTAATAATTTAGATAAAGGATTCTTTTTAACAGGACTGCTTCTCATTGGTATGTGCTCTGTGCTGCACTGGAGAAGACACTGAGTTTTCCCTGGGCATTTTTGCAGTATTAGGTCTTGATCCTGCACATCATAATGGTGATTGGTCACAGTTTAAGTGCAAGGTTAAAAGTAGCAAGTGAAATAAGGAAGCACAGGGGAGCTCTCTCTTTTATAATTGAAAGTGTGGCTGGACACTTCAAATGCATCAGTCGCATAGCAGGCATAATGTCAGATAGCAGAGAGCATAAGCAAGCACCTCATTTCCACACCAGATATTGTTTTCAAAAATCTGTCTCTGTAGATGTTACCACTCTCACCACCTTTTTTTTTTTAAAGCCACTTGTTCTCTCATTCTTGAGGAGTAAAAGATGCAACAAACAAGAAATTATAAATTCATGTCTCTTCAGTGCCTAGTGCTGTGCCTAGCACTTTGCCTTAAGGAACCCCTAGATAGCAGGTGCTTAGCTTTAATCTGGAGCCGAAAGCTTTTGGCTCAATCCAGCCCACTGTACGATTTGCAGGATTAAGGCCTAAAGGGATAAAGTGTCTCAAATGAGGGAGCAGAGTGAGTACATAAGTAAGATGACTTGTCCTTCAAGTGTACTTTCGTAGAATAACTCTAGGGAGGCTTCTCACAATGGCTATTCTTGGCTTTTCTTATTTACTTGGTGACAGAAAAGTTACATCCTCAGCTCTCCCCAACATCCTTGTCAACTTATAATATTAGCATGCCTGTTCAATTGCTGATGAGGCACACACTGTAAAGGCACTTACATTTTTATATGTCTATTATTGATTTGGGCTTATTGCAGCAATGTACTATTGAAGATGACCTGGAGTAGCATGGCAGCATGCAGAGAAATGATTCACTTGGAGGAGCCGCGATGGGCACTGACTGCCTGGGGCTGTGGGCAATGCTGACGCGGGGTCTTTGCTTTGCAGTGCTGAAAGGTGGAGCCCTCGATGGAGTCTACAGGCTGGTGCAGTTTCACATTCACTGGGGATCCTGTGAGGGCCAAGGATCCGAGCACACTGTGGATGGTGTGAAGTACGATGCAGAGGTAGGACATGCTTTGCTTCCTTCACTCTTCTTTGTAGTATTCTTTTTTTCTTTTAATCTTCCACTGTGGTTGCAGCAGTCCTAGAAATAATAGTAGGGCCAGAGACTGGTGGTAGGTATGGGAGAGTAACCATAGAAGACTGGTAAAATGGTATCTCAAGAGCTCTGTCTTCCGTGAGCAGAGATTAGAAATGTTGGGCTCCTTGTAAGTTTTTGTCAACTACATCATATCAAAGAAATAAGCCAACTGTAACTCTGTTATTCTCCTGCTTTCTCAGTGATTCCTGAAAATTAAAAAGAAACGGAATTGCAGCACTTCTTTATATACACACTCACTTTGTTCTAGCCTCAATTTTTGATGTCACAGACTTTTATATAAAAATACGAATATTTTACAATAGATGCTTTCATCTTTTGATGGCAAAGAAGCAGGGAGAAAGGCAGGTAGCCAGATGATACCATGGTGGCACTTTGAAAACATCTCTGCATATTCCTTGACTGCTTAAGACTATTACAGTCTTAATACAGAAATTGTGTGACTTTAGTGACTTTCATCCCACCCTTCCATTTTAGAAATCTAAGACTGACAGAAATTTAGAAATCTAGCAGTGACAGACTTTTTAACCCTTACAGTAAATGCACATATTGACTGAACACAGCTGTGATTTGCATTGATGAACAGAAGAAGTGACCCTACAAATTCACCTGCTCTGCTGCTTTTCCATGAGATAAAGATATCTTTTATCACATCCAAGGAACTTGCCATCACCTTATATCTACTCACAGTATTACAATGACCTGCTCAATTTGACTTGAAAATACTTGTGATAGTACCAATTGTTTTCATTTCAAAGAAGGTGGAATTGCAAGGGCAGATAAACTTTCAGAGGAAGAGAAAAGTCCCGTTTTCATTTTAATTAGAAGTAATTGGAGAACTAAAAAGAAAGGAACATCCTGGATAACAGGACCTGGAGATTCATTTCTCTTTTCAAAGGTTTTTCAAGAAAAGCCCTGTTTCTTAAAAACTCTCTAGACTGCAGGTGAGACCTGCAGAGGCAGATGTTAATGCCTGACATTATTTCCCTGACACTGGACAAACATGTCTTTCAGCGTTGACAAGAACTCCAGAGTACGTAGCATTAAAATAATATATGAAAGTCTAGCAGGCTGTGTGCAGGGAATGCTCGTACTGAAGATGACAAGTTTCACCAGACTAAAAGGAGAAGGATATAGCCCACAGTTTGCATTCAGAACTCATTTTGAAATAAGAGTAAGAAGTAAAATATAATGCATGACAGAAACCTTTTTGCATAAATGAAACCTGAAAGTAGATGTATGATTCAACAAATTCTTTACTGTACACAAAACTTTTAAAATCCCATCAGTAAAACACCATCTGCCACTAATGTTTAATAAATGACTCTCTTGCATCCTCATTTGTAAAATATTATGGATGGAATATATTCTTCATAGTGCTTCTTGTTTCCTTGCATCTAGCTCCACATTGTTCACTGGAACACAAAATATGGCAAATTTGCTGAAGCTGTGAAGCATCCCGATGGCTTGGCTGTGGTAGGCATTTTCATGAAGGTGAGTTAAATCCTTCTTTGTGTTACTTGGATTAGTCCAGTATGCTTACTGTGTTGCCAGGGAACTGCAGAGCCTAAAGTATAGAATAAGTCAGTATTATGCTATACTGTATAAACCTGGCCAAACTAGATCTTAAGTTTATCTCTATACAAAATGTGTACATTTTCTTATTGCTGGTGGTGTGTAACTGCCTTACATCTGTTTGTCTGCCTAGTATGCTTGCTGCCACCATGACAGTGGTACTGCATAACTCCTCCAGTACAAGAAGATGTGCATAATTACATAGTTCTGTATATATGGATATGCGGGTAGAACAGGCCTAAATAACCTCTCCTTCCCTCTCCTGTCATTGTTAAATGCTCAAATTATTTTGTCTTGGTTGAATTATCTCCACAGCTGGCTGAAGAAGGTGACTATGCCTTAGCACTGTGCACTCTCTCCTAGTCTCACTGTGTTTTGTTAGAAGGGTGACTTCTACAAAAAAAGAACAGCTTAAGTCCAAAAATAAATCTGTAAATTTAAATTTACAGATTTAAATGTAAATTAAAATAACTTTATTCTCACCACTGTCCTTGGCTGACCTGTTTGTGCTGTCAGCTGGCATGTTTTTAAAGGGCCAGTTTCAGTCCCTTTGCCATAGTACTCCTGTTATATAAGGAATGGATCCTGTGAAAATGCACTGTTAAAATGTTTCCTCAAAAAGTGTAGCATATTATGAGAATGCAAGATTACTTTCTTTTTGTGTGGTTTGTATTACAGGTAGGAAATGCCAAGCCTGAAATACAGAAAGTTGTTGATGCTCTGAGCTCCGTTCAGACCAAGGTAATGAGTGTTTTGATTACCGATTACACCCGTGTTGCATCTTCTCCCAAAAGTGTATCCTTTACTTCTCCTTAGTTTGTTACATCTGTTTTGTTTTATGAGAGTAAAGCAAACCTTGCTGCTGTCAGCACTGATGCCATTGCACTGTGAAATGCAGAACTGATTCAGATGAAGTTATGGTAGAGGGCAGGGAATACCCCAAAACTGTGATCATTTTATGTCTCTGTGACTACATTTATCTGTCTTTCAGCTGCATTTAAGCCTATAGAGTAGAATGATCTGAACTGCTCTTCTGTGCACTATTTTTTAGTCAGGGGCATGAAAGAGGCACTTATGGGATAAATTTCTTTTTGGAAATGTGTCTCTTTTGGCTGTTTGGCTGGGAGAGTCCATGTGAAAAGTTTGAACAGGAAGTTAAACCTTTAGGAGGAAAAATGCCTCTCTGTAAAAAAGCTCTCTATATTTTAAATACTGTGTTCAATGTGTATGTGATCTTAATCCCAGAAGAGACCACCACTACAAGCTAAATGTGTATATGCCAGCTAGGACCTTATCTCCTTGCTCTATTGCAGGGGAAACAAGCTTCCTTCACAAACTTTGACCCTACTGGACTGCTTCCTGCATCCAGAGAGTACTGGACATACCCTGGATCACTGACCACTCCTCCTCTGCTCGAGTGCGTGGTCTGGCACGTTCTGAAGGAGCCCATCACCGTCAGCCCAGAGCAGGTAGGTCTCCAATAGTAGGTGCCAAGAGAGTTGTGTTGACATCACACTGATTGCATTGGCCTAGCAGTCAGGGAGATCTCTCTCTGAAATGGCAGCTTATGTTACTGCAGAGCTACAGGAGGTGTTAGCTAGTGTGTCACATGTCAAAAATATATATCTGAAGTGGTTATCTGCATTTGGCAAGGCTTGTGCTTGTGAAAGTAGAGTTTTCTGCAAGTGTAAGGCACTCTGTTTGGACTATTCTCCAGCAAAAAAAACCCTGAGGATTTTAAAAAAAAAAAAAAAGTCAGGATTTCTAGATACAGAGCTCCTTGGCTGGAGCTGCCGTGTAGTAAAAATATGGGGAATTCGTACGACGTATGAAAAAATCCTTTGTGTGGCACATGTATGGTAAGTCTAACATATTTTAAGCATCAGCGAGCTTGCTTTACACACACAAATTACCTATCTGGCTATACCTAAAAATATATTGGATTTACCAGGCAGTTGAAGAACATTTATTCATCATCTGCAGTGCACACGCTGTACATCTGTAGATGTTTGGTAGATGTTCCAGATCTTCAGCATTTCTGGACACATAGAGCTTGTTGTACAAGGCCTATTCAGCCCAGAAGCACAGACTGGGGGATCCCACAGTATTCCAAACGTGTTGTTGGAAAAGAGAAACCTTGCAGATTCCTGAATTCTGTCTCCTGTATAAAAACCCCCTTCTTTCATTGTGCAGCTTGCAGAGAATAGAAACTTCCTACTAGGACAGAGCTTTGGCAGATTAAATCACTTCCAGGCCTAGGTCTCTGCCCATCCATTAATGAAATAGTGTAGAAACAAGATTGCAGCCTTGGGTCTGCATCTGTGTGCTTGGAAGATATAAATAGAATGTAGAGCTTATATATATAAATTCACTCTAAAGGTGTTTAGTTTACCCTTCAAACTCTTAAATCTTTTTTTATCTATGACAATGGAATTAACACAATTCTAGGGAATTTATTCAGCTGATACGAAAAAATGCAATTGATCTGTTCTAGGGCATAATATAGAATAAATGAAGAGGATGAACTACTGAAAATAAACCTCATTTATAGCAATGATTGCTATTAAAAAACAGCATCTTCTAAGGGAGCCTTAAAATTGATACCATTTATTTATTTTTTACTATTGGTATTGTCATTGATAATCCAAGGTATACAAGTTTAGTTTTATGATAGATTAGGAGCATATTCACCAAAGCAGAATTGTTTGATCCTACCTACAGGCACTAGTTGTTTCTTTCATGTGCACCCCTCCATATTTTACTCGACATTTCAAAACAGTGCATGTGACAGCTTGACTTTTCATTCCCAAACTGATCAAAACAAGAAGCCATAAAGCAGTATTACCACTGGATTTAAGCTGAGTTGAGTTTTGAAAGCCCGTCTGACACCAGACTCTCAGAAGCCTGTATCCCTCCTACATATTTCTGTTGGCTGTGTGAGATCACGTTTGGAGCAGGTTATTATTTTGGCACAATGATTTTTTTTATTAGCTTCCCATCTTAGACTCCGTAAATGGCAATTTTGCTTTAGGAACCAGCACTAGAACCTTATGGAAAGGCTCCTATGGACATCGAAGACATTGTTCTATTTGAAAATCAAGATTTCTTGAGTGAATTAGGTAGTTTTAATTTGTATCCAAGGATCAGGTCATTTTAATTTTAAAGTATTAAGTGTCCAAAAAGTCCAGCCTTCGTAAGAGCCAAAACAGTACATGTGGATGAAGTCTGTTGTGGACGGTGCATCACACGGCCGGCGATGCCATCTCTAACCCATTAGCTCTGGAAAAGCTTTAAGACGAACCCCAGGCTCTGTCCCCAAGTGAATTATTCAAAATAGTCTTATGGCAACAGGAGGATGCAATTGAGGATGTTTGTGCTTTCTTCACAGATGTGCAAACTCCGTGGCCTTTGCTTCAATGCTGAGAATGAGCCCGTGTGCCACATGGTGGACAACTGGCGCCCATGCCAGCCTCTGAAGAGCAGAGAAGTTCGAGCCTCATTCCAGTAACCTCAGTGCTGAGAGCGTTAGAAATCGAGCGTGTTTGTGAGGAGCCCCTCTTGCTAAGCACAATTCCAACCTTTGCCATGTGTGCCCTGGCAACATCTCATCTCCTAGATCCATTCTTTTCTTCTCTGCGTCTGAAATGCCAGCTAAGGAAATGGGAAAGGCTCTCGGCCAGACAGGAAGGGGGTTCTTAGCGCGGGGCTGGGGAGCTGGGGTGGGACAGGGAGGCTGGGTGTGTTTTGGTGACCATTGCCACAACTGACACTGGTCTAACAGTGTGTTGGCTCTTTGGGAGAGGATATGGTGATGATAGCAAAAAAAAGCCATTTTAAGAAACCTCATCCACATAGTATACATAACTAACTTGAAGCTTTGACAAAAGCACAGGAATACAGAGTATAGCTATGACTTAGAAAAAAAGGTATTTTGAGAAAAAAGCAAAGTGAATATTGAGAATTAGACTTCTTAGATTTTAAGAAACTGACATGTAAATATTTTTAAGATTGTTTTACATTTTTACCCATGCTATCAACAACCTCAAATATGTCTTAATGGTAGTGTGTTGGATTTTTTAATTAAAAAAGTCCTCAATTAAATACTATCTTTGCAAATTGTTATTACTGTAGAAATAATACAAAGTATCTTTTCATTGAAATAATATATGCTCTAATTTAAAAAGGAAAATAATATTGTATTTTAGATAAATTCTCTAATAAAACTATGCTTATACTTTTACTTCCAAGCTGTTATTTTAATTCAGGAAAGGAGTTGCTGATCTGTTCATATCCTTATATATTAACCATAATTAGTAAACATCCGGTATAAAGAGGATCAATTTCAATGATGCTGAAGATGAATGCAAACCTAGGATATGTTAGGTAATTTTCTGTAAGTATCTCTCTGATGGACAGCAGAAAGAAATATTCATTTTCAGCAACCACTACAAGTTACTGTCAAAGTTGAGTGCATGATAAAAAATCAATTCACAATAAAAAAAAATGCTGAAGAACAAGCTTCTCTGAAGTGGTGCTTGAGCATTGCCGTTTTGTGGCAGCCCAGAAGCAAAGTGCCCCATGCTTATGCAGAACAGTTACCCAAACCATTTCTCCAACAAGGTCAAATCTTTTAATACTGTGTATCCAAAGCTTGTTTTTTTTTTTTTTAGCTTCACAATAAGGCATTTCTATGAATGATTTTAATAGAGAAGCTGTGCTTCCAATAACTTCTATTGCTGGATCTCTATTACCTATTTTCTTGTGCTTTCCTTAACACGTATTCAGTCAGTATCTAAATACATGGGATCCGATCAAACCCATAAGGGGCTACCCTCATTCCTCCACTCCTGGCTGTCGTGAGAAAAATTGTCTTCAGATGTGAGTTTAAGATTTTGGTGCTAAATTTTAAGGCATTTAATTGGTGACACCTGACTGTGATCCAGCCATATCAAAGTTCACTTTGCAGTCTGTAAGAGATCAGCTGGGCAGGCTGTGCCCTTGTAGCCAAGAAGGCCAATGGGATCCTGCGGTGCCTTAAGAAGAGCATCTCCAGCAGGTCGAGGGAGGTGATCCTGCCCCTCTACTCAGCCCTGGTGAGGCCGCATCTGGAGTATTGTGTCCAGTTCTGGGCCCCACAGTACAAGAGGGATGTGGAGCTGCTGGAGAGAGTCCAGCGCAGGGCCACAAGGATGATCAGGGGCCTGGAACATCTGCCCTATGAGGAAAGACTGAGAGAGCTGGGCCTGTTCAGCCTGGAGAAGAGAAAGCTAGAGCCCTGGAACAGGCTGCCCAGAGAGGTTGTGGAGACTCCTTCTCTGGAGATCTTCAAAACCCGCCTGGATGCAGTCGTGTGCCACGTGCTCTAGGTGACCCTATGTGTGCAGGGGTGTTGGACTAATTGATCTCTAAAGATCCCTTCCAACCTTAAGGATTCTATGATTCTGTGATACATCCTGAAGTTCTTGGGATTTTGAAATGTGTGGGATGGGAGTGAAGCACTTTAGCATGAGGGTAGCCTTTGTATCCAAAAATCTCTGGAAATTCTGCCAGATTTTCCTTTCTGAATAGCTTTCCACTGGTTTAAAGAGAAAAAAAAGCTTCACCAAAGGCCGTTTCTTCAGCTTTCTTGAATTGATCTCTGGAAGTGCCTATTTCTTTCCAAAAGAACTATTGTGGTCAATTTTGGTTCTTGATCTTGTATAGCTTGGTGTATGCCTTTCTGATCTCTCCACAGGCCTGAGTTAGGCACTTAACTCCCTTAAACACCATAGAAACAGTTAACACCTCTAAGAATGGGAGAGCCAATACAGTGTTGCTTGAGCTGCTGACACAGGCCAAGAGGAAACACTATACTTAAGGACTTGTGTCCTGCTTATTTCAGCAGGTAGCATCCTTTTGTTGAAACTGCAGGGAGGGCTTGTTTCCAGTCACAGGCAATAAGCTTGTTCCTGGAATGGCACGTATACGCCAGCATTACTCCCAAAGGTTGCAACCCTATTCTCTTCTTAAAGACTGCAAGTCTACTGCACGTGTATGCCAGCATTACTCCCAAAGGTTGCAATTCTCTTCTTAAAGACTGCAAGTCTACAGGTTATGGCAGTATTAAAAAATGTTTGAACACCAGATTTTCAAATCCCTCCTCTATCTTGATTACCAGGTAACCGAGCTTGCTGATAAATGTTATTCTCTCTGATACCTGTGCTGCTCATATAGTATCCACTACTGTATGATAGAGAATGGAAACTTCTGCTCTGGCTCAGGTAAAAACCTGGGAATGTCTGTGGAGTTCTAACCACTGCTGCAGTTAAAAGTTTCATACCTAATAACTCAAATACCAGTTGAAGCCATGGCCTGTACCATGCCCAGATCACTGCTGGAATTCCAGTATCAAGTCTGGATTGCCTTGTAAATGTTATGCAAAGCACTATCTGTCTCTAACCTATAGGTGTTAATGTGAAAATTGGAAATCCATGTCTCTGTCCAATGACTAGTTCACTCTTTCATATTATACATTCTTTGCAGCATGAACTGGTATTCCAGCTTCCCCAAAAAGCTCTTCTAATATACCAGGCAAAGCACTAACAAACAGCAGTAGCACCAATGCTATTTATAAACCCTCCTGGCATGGTCCTTCCCGCCAACTCCCAAGCAGCTGCCCCGAGGAGGTGATGAGGAAGAGAAGATGCCATCACTCAGGTGTAGAGGTACAAGGACAGCTGTGGAATGTGCCCTTGGGACAAGTCCACCCGGTTACTGGACTCACTCCAGCATGGGTGGTGTAACAGGGAACAGCTCTTGCACCTCTGCCTACACGAATGAGGTTCAGGTCAAGATAGAGGTTCACACCGAACAAGGGCACTGTGTTTGTTAATCATTTTTGACTAACATTTTTTCCCCTAGGGTGTGTGAGAAAGTAATCATGCCTCTAATGAAAGAAGGGACAACTCAGTTTCTGTAGCCATCCATCATCACAGTGGGCGGTATCTACTGAGCCTTTTCTTTCCATTATATCAAAAATCGTCTCACCAGGGCAGGAACCTTACGTATGGTTTCTGAAAGAAACTGGCAGAGAGAAGTGGGTGTAGCTTGTACAGAAACAGCCAAGTTTCAGAAATCCAGCTCCATGCTTTTCTACTTGCTCTGACGTACTCCCATCACACTTCAAGGTTGCTCCATAAATAATAAGTAACAGTAAGCAATGACAACCAACATCAGCCATGTATTTATCATCTTGTTTGCATGAGCCTGTTTACCTGGACTGTTGCCAATAGCATATGTTTGCTGAATATAAGGTACTTTTATATTCAGCCTGACAATGTGCAAGCTGGTGTTTATGTCATACACATGGCATATATGAAGAGCCTGCTGAATTTCTTACCTATGCGTTCTTGCGGGGAACTTTTCTTTTTCTTTTTTTTTTCCTTTCTTTTCAAATGAAGAAAATTTGAGATCTCCCCTTTCCTGCAAATCAGCTCAAAGACCCTTTACAACATAAAATTATACATGGACTGTTCACAAACTCACACTTCGCATTTAGACTCTAGCACAACGTATATCCTTTTCAAGCAAGATTTATTTGCTAAAGCCACTTAGAGATAAAGAAAACAATTTTCCTGGCATTCTTGTGATTTCCTGAATGACAGGTTTGATCAAGGTGAAGCTGTATGTCACCATCCAACTCTTATTCCTGACCTCTGTTCTCCTTCATTGTTTGCATATATGAGGAGGTTATAATTATGTTTTGAAATTCTTTCATAGCAGACTTTAAACCACCACCCATTGCAGTATCACAGTTTCACCCACTTCACCTGAGTAATTGTTTTTAAATTCATAATGAAAGAAAGAGACCACCTTGATCATGAACCAGAAGTTGGCTTTTCATGCACTGCAGGCAATTGTATTATTAACAAGTAGGCCGCTCTGATTAAAGGGCAATTTATTTAGAAGAAAAAGAAAGAAGGCTAGTGTGTTAATGCAAAGTCATACTAAGATACTAGGCTACCACTTTGATAGGGGAGAGAAGCTTGTTCACTTGCAAACTGTTTATTTTGCACAGTTTGTGATCTTGTCTCTCACTTGTCTGCCAACTCCATGTGTTAGAACATTTTATGATTTCTCCGCTGCTGTTTCTAAGGATTGGACGTGTCCTAGATTGACATGGGCGAGTAGACTGTGATTAGAGATGCTCCCAGGCGATTAAATAATAGTGCCCTACATGAAGTCAGCAATGTTTACAGAAGCCAGGACAGTGTGTAGAAGTTTATCACTCACTAGATGACAGCTTTAGGATTTTCTAACCCTTCAAAGAAAAGCCCTGGTGAGCAGCAGCTGTTTCAAATCTAATATTGTAGAAGCAAGCACTGATAAAAGTACAGGCAATGGATTTATTGAAGGATTCCCATGGACCCTCTAGCATGAGACACTTTCTCTTCCAAACCAGTGTCACACACAGTCACATAGCACCTGGTAATAGTTGCTTACTGTGTGTATTTGATGTATTTTTAGACTATTTGGCAACCAGTTGCTCCAATACTGTCCCTTTTCCTCTTTCAGTATGACAGGGACGGGTCAAAGGGCAGTTCTGCTATCTCAACTCCACGAATGGTTCTCACAGGCTGGGAAGCTCCCCAGCCACCAGTTCTATTAAAGCATGAGGCAAAGGATGCATTTTCAAACCATCATTGTCACCATTTCAAGCAGTGAACGCAGTGCTAAGGCTTTTC